CTGTGCCCATGAGATTAACATTATGGATTCATATATTTAACATATACTGTATGTTTTTTTTAGCTAATTTACAGTAGCTCAAATTAACAACGCACGCACCTATTAACATAATGCCATTATCATGTATTATAGGCTTATGGGCTTATTTGTGTGCAGAATAGGCCTAATTATTGAAACATTTCTCTTTTAAGCCATTCCTGATTGGAATATGTGATTGTGTTTCGTGACATCTTGACAAAAAAAAAAATGTATGCCACTGACTGACATGCTTCTACTAAATCTATAGTTTATCCAATTGTGGGGCTTTAAAAACCTTAAATGCACATGTGTAGATCAAGAACATAAAAATTCCTAAGTGAGGATCCTAACTAAAGTGATTCCTAGCAAGATCACTTTCGTTACCTCAGTAGGGCTATTTTAGAATTCCTGCATAGTACCTGGGTGGAGACATTCATTTTGTGCAAAAAATATTTCATTGCCGCTCACACATTAACTTTGTGCTCAATAACTGTTAAAAATATGAGGGGGTCCTTTGTTTTTTTTTCCCCTGAAAGGGTCCCTGGCACCAAAATGTTTGAGAACCCTGGTCTAGAGCCTCCATTTTTGCACTCAGGTGTAAGTCTCAGTGCCCTCTATCAGAATCCAGAGTTTCGAGAAGATTGGGGATACTTAATTTTTTCCCCCCCAAAAAAAAAACGTAAGGGGTAACACTGTCGTTTTTTTTTCGGGTCGAAATTTTGAGTTTCGATATCTCAGCTCTGGAAGGGTCTAGAGCCTCCATTTTTGCACTCAGGTGTAAGTCTCAGTGCCCTCTATCAGAATCCAGAGTTTCGAGAAGATTGGGATACTTAATTTTTCGCCCCCAAAAAAAACGTAAGGGGTAACACTGTCGTTTTTTTTTCGGGTCGAAATTTTGAGTTTCGATATCTCAGCTCTGGAAGGGTCTAGAGCCTCCATTTTTGCACTCAGGTGTAAGTCTCAGTGCCCTCTATCAGAATCCAGAGTTTCGAGAAGATTGGGGATACTTAATTTTTCGCCCCCAAAAAAAAACGTAAGGGGTAACACTGTCGTTTTTTTTTCGGGTCGAAATTTTGAGTTTCGATATCTCAGCTCTGGAAGGGTCTAGAGCCTCCATTTTTGCACTCAGGTGTAAGTCTCAGTGCCCTCTATCAGAATCCAGAGTTTCGAGAAGATTGGGATACTTAATTTTTCGCCCCCAAAAAAAAACGTAAGGGGTAACACTGTCGTTTTTTTTTCGGGTCGAAATTTTGAGTTTCGATATCTCAGCTCTGGAAGGGTCTAGAGCCTCCATTTTTGCACTCAGGTGTAAGTCTCAGTGCCCTCTATCAGAATCCAGAGTTTCGAGAAGATTGGGATACTTAATTTTTCGCCCAAAAAAAAAAACGTAAGGGGTAACACTGTCGTTTTTTTTTCGGGTCGAAATTTTGAGTTTCGATATCTCAGCTCTGGAAGGGTCTAGAGCCTCCATTTTTGCACTCAGGTGTAAGTCTCAGTGCCCTCTATCAGAATCCAGAGTTTCGAGAAGATTGGGGATACTTAATTTTTCGCCAAAAAAAAAAACGTAAGGGGTAACACTGTCGTTTTTTTTTCGGGTCGAAATTTTGAGTTTCGATATCTCAGCTCTGGAAGGGTCTAGAGCCTCCATTTTTGCACTCAGGTGTAAGTCTCAGTGCCCTCTATCAGAATCCAGAGTTTCGAGAAGATTGGGGATACTTAATTTTTCGCCCAAAAAAAAAAAACGTAAGGGGTAACACTGTCGTTTTTTTTTCGGGTCGAAATTTTGAGTTTCGATATCTCAGCTCTGGAAGGGTCTAGAGCCTCCATTTTTGCACTCAGGTGTAAGTCTCAGTGCCCTCTATCAGAATCCAGAGTTTCGAGAAGATTGGGGATACTTAATTTTTCGCCCAAAAAAAAAAACGTAAGGGGTAACACTGTCGTTTTTTTTTCGGGTCGAAATTTTGAGTTTCGATATCTCAGCTCTGGAAGGGTCTAGAGCCTCCATTTTTGCACTCAGGTGTAAGTCTCAGTGCCCTCTATCAGAATCCAGAGTTTCGAGAAGATTGGGGATACTTAATTTTTCGCCCAAAAAAAAAAACGTAAGGGGTAACACTGTCGTTTTTTTTTCGGGTCGAAATTTTGAGTTTCGATATCTCAGCTCTGGAAGGGTCTAGAGCCTCCATTTTTGCACTCAGGTGTAAGTCTCAGTGCCCTCTATCAGAATCCAGAGTTTCGAGAAGATTGGGGATACTTAATTTTTCGCCCCAAAAAAAAAACGTAAGGGGTAACACTGTCGTTTTTTTTTCGGGTCGAAATTTTGAGTTTCGATATCTCAGCTCTGGAAGGGTCTAGAGCCTCCATTTTTGCACTCAGGTGTAAGTCTCAGTGCCCTCTATCAGAATCCAGAGTTTCGAGAAGATTGGGGATACTTAATTTTTCGCCCCCAAAAAAAAAACGTAAGGGGTAACACTGTCGTTTTTTTTTCGGGTCGAAATTTTGAGTTTCGATATCTCAGCTCTGGAAGGGTCTAGAGCCTCCATTTTTGCACTCAGGTGTAAGTCTCAGTGCCCTCTATCAGAATCCAGAGTTTCGAGAAGATTGGGGATACTTAATTTTTCGCCCAAAAAAAAAACGTAAGGGGTAACACTGTCGTTTTTTTTTCGGGTCGAAATTTTGAGTTTCGATATCTCAGCTCTGGAAGGGTCTAGAGCCTCCATTTTTGCACTCAGGTGTAAGTCTCAGTGCCCTCTATCAGAATCCAGAGTTTCGAGAAGATTGGGGATACTTAATTTTTCGCCCAAAAAAAAAAACGTAAGGGGTAACACTGTCGTTTTTTTTTCGGGTCGAAATTTTGAGTTTCGATATCTCAGCTCTGGAAGGGTCTAGAGCCTCCATTTTTGCACTCAGGTGTAAGTCTCAGTGCCCTCTATCAGAATCCAGAGTTTCGAGAAGATTGGGGATACTTAATTTTTCGCCCAAAAAAAAAAAACGTAAGGGGTAACACTGTCGTTTTTTTTTCGGGTCGAAATTTTGAGTTTCGATATCTCAGCTCTGGAAGGGTCTAGAGCCTCCATTTTTGCACTCAGGTGTAAGTCTCAGTGCCCTCTATCAGAATCCAGAGTTTCGAGAAGATTGGGGATACTTAATTTTTCGCCCAAAAAAAAAAAACGTAAGGGGTAACACTGTCGTTTTTTTTTCGGGTCGAAATTTTGAGTTTCGATATCTCAGCTCTGGAAGGGTCTAGAGCCTCCATTTTTGCACTCAGGTGTAAGTCTCAGTGCCCTCTATCAGAATCCAGAGTTTCGAGAAGATTGGGGATACTTAATTTTTTCCCCCAAAAAAAAAACGTAAGGGGTAACACTGTCGTTTTTTTTTCGGGTCGAAATTTTGAGTTTCGATATCTCAGCTCTGGAAGGGTCTAGAGCCTCCATTTTTGCACTCAGGTGTAAGTCTCAGTGCCCTCTATCAGAATCCAGAGTTTCGAGAAGATTGGGGATACTTAATTTTTCGCCCAAAAAAAAAAACGTAAGGGGTAACACTGTCGTTTTTTTTTCGGGTCGAAATTTTGAGTTTCGATATCTCAGCTCTGGAAGGGTCTAGAGCCTCCATTTTTGCACTCAGGTGTAAGTCTCAGTGCCCTCTATCAGAATCCAGAGTTTCGAGAAGATTGGGGATACTTAATTTTTCGCCCAAAAAAAAAAACGTAAGGGGTAACACTGTCGTTTTTTTTTCGGGTCGAAATTTTGAGTTTCGATATCTCAGCTCTGGAAGGGTCTAGAGCCTCCATTTTTGCACTCAGGTGTAAGTCTCAGTGCCCTCTATCAGAATCCAGAGTTTCGAGAAGATTGGGGATACTTAATTTTTCGCCCAAAAAAAAAAACGTAAGGGGTAACACTGTCGTTTTTTTTTCGGGTCGAAATTTTGAGTTTCGATATCTCAGCTCTGGAAGGGTCTAGAGCCTCCATTTTTGCACTCAGGTGTAAGTCTCAGTGCCCTCTATCAGAATCCAGAGTTTCGAGAAGATTGGGGATACTTAATTTTTCGCCCAAAAAAAAAAACGTAAGGGGTAACACTGTCGTTTTTTTT